CTTAGCAAGCCGTCGGGAGTGGCCAGCATGGCATTTGCCACGTGGAGTGGGGTCACCTGAGGGTGGCCACGCTGCCTGGCCAGGGCGGCCGCCTGGTTCATGGTGGCAGCCGCCTCGGGTGTTAGGGCTGGCTGCACCGGAGAAACTCCAGCTCTCATTATTATTATTATTGTTTTTGTTTAATTTTTGGAATAAGCTTAGATTTTGATTGATAACTCGAGTGACAAAGGCTTAAGGGAAATCTTGGGGAGATCTTTGTTTCATGAATGTTAGTGTTGTTGTAAGAATAATAACATATTGTTCGCAGGTAGTGAAAAATATAAAAAGGGTGACTGGTACTGACTACTGAGTGTTCTTTTCTTGTGGATGAGGTAAGGGAAATGCTATTATGCTTGTTACGGTACAATCTCGTCGGGTGTTTTAATCGTTGGATCACATGTAGTTAGATAACACAGATGATCTAACGGTTAAAAAATCTGACGGGATGGTACCGTAACGGGATCGTAGCAATGGTAAAGTGTGGAGAGAATGCAATGCATGTGCTGACAAGGAGGACGAATTGCAGAGGTACCAAAGGCAAATCAGCTTTTATTCCTACCTTTTTTTTTTTTTTTTTCTTTCGAGATTTATTTACAAAATTAAAGACACATAAATAAATTTTTTGATTGATAGATTCTATCATATAGTGGCATTGGGCATGAGATGAGCCTAGATATCAATCACATCTATTTGTTATACAAGATTTGTTCCTAATTTTCTCCTCATTATTGGCCTAATTAGTAAGTAATACAGGTTATAAAGACTGAGTTGTGAGTTGTCCTACATCGTTTGTATAGGGAACATAAGCCTAACTTATAAGTTCAGTGGGCGTCTCATCTTGCCACCAACTAATTTTGGTATGGAACCTCACTATGGTGCATCTAGTCTGACAAAATTTTAAAATTAGTACACTATGTTGGCCATTTTTTAAAAAAAAAAATCCAACATATAAGGCGTTATCAAGATCAAGAATGATCCACTAAATTGTCGTTTTAATCAGATTTCGAAATTAATTATATGAACCCCTTGATTTTGTTAAATTGGGGTAAAAAAAGAAAGGCAAATGAGACACAGAAAACGAGGGCCTGAAAAAGTGACGAAAGGAGTGGGAGCTGTCTGTTTGAAGGAATCGGTAAGTGTGTACGATCAATCTATCCTCTCCTTTAGGGAATAAAGAGGCTCTCGATGCAGTTAAAGGTTGTACCTTTGCATGCATTTTATGGATATATATATGTAGCTTAGCTTCACTCATACAACGTAATTTTGCTCTTTTTTCTATGCCTACTGTATGTATTCAGACAGAAAGATGCAAGTATTTTTTTTTTTTTTTAAAGTTCAAATTAAATTGCTACTTGTAGATTTTTACAAAATGATTTATGATTAATATATGCATTACCATTATTAGTCCACTATCAATTATTCTTGTACTTATTTCTACATTGAGAATGTTCTTCCTTTTTTATTTTTATTTTTCTCCTTGGCCAGAATTTGATAATTTTTTTTTTTTATATAAATATATAATGTCACCAAGGATAGTACTCAATTTGTTTGGAGGGATTAACCTGGATATCCTAGCTTATCCTTCACTTATCCCATGTTTGGTTCATAGGATTCCGGTCCTGGATGGAGTGTTTGGCCCGGGATGAAAATTGTTTTTATCCCATGAAATCGGGATAAGTCAATCCAGACTTTTAGGTGAGATTAGACCAATCCTAACAAGCTTGAAGTCCAATTTACCTTTATTTACAAATTTGTTTATTTATTCAGAGGGGGTAAAAGAGTATTTTACACCATTATTTTTGACTTGCGGTGTCATATACAATTTTTATTTTTCCTTTTAAAATAAAGTTATCTTAATCCTTATCACATATAACAAACATAGGACTATATTTATCCAAACAGTACAATACTTCACATTTTTTACTATTTTAGTCCGATCTCATCCTAGAAAACAAACGTGGACAAATAATTTAGAATTTCATAGGGTTTTTGTGTATAAATATATCAACATTCAAAAAGAGATGGTATTTTCAGTCAAAAAGCTTCTCCATCTTAGATGTTCTTAAAAGACATACAAAGAGCATCAAGTGATTTTGAACGTAAAGTTTTCTACACACAAGTATGGAAAAGCAATGTTTGAACAAAAAGCAAGGTAGACATATATATAGACGCGAGTTCTTTATCATACTTACTCGGATTAGCACTTCTATAACCAATTTATCCTTTATTTTTTTCACCAGTGTCAATGTGTGAGTGCATGTGTGTGAGTGCGCGTAATGTGTACACAAAATTTATAAGAAGGATTAGGACCGCCTTTAGTTCACTTTCCGAGTGCTTTGATTAAGTAATCCCCCCTTTATATTATTTCAGAACGTGCTTAGCCTACGTGGCTGCTTCTGGTGCTTCGAAATCCTATGTGGCAAAATTACATGCTTCGTTATTAGGCTTAGGTAAATTTTAATTTAATTCCAAACCAAACATAATTAGGTTCGGATTACCATAAATATGTTGATTATTTATGGTCATGTTACATGTATTAATTGTATTTTAATATTATTCTTTATTATAACTATTGAATTGTATATATATTTTAAAAGTTAATAATTTTTGTATTTTTTATCAGTTTTACATATGTAATATATCAAATTAATCTTCTTTTGATGAGCTTCGATTTAACATCCATCTTGTATATATATAAAAATAATTTATATTTATCTGTATAACAATAATAAAATTATTTTTAATATTAATTAAAAAAATTATTTATCAACTAATATATTTATATTTCAAGTAGTTATGATTTAAGTTATAAAAGCTAATATAATATAACACATGTAAGTCATAAGTAACACATATCATTCTAAATATATAGGAATATATTTTTTCTTGTAAAAAAGTAAACTAAATTTAATATAGTTTTCTCATTAATTTTAAAATTTAAGAATAATTTTTTAACAAGCACCCGTGTAATACACGGGTGTTGTACTAGTTAATCACTATAGCTATCATTTAAGCACCATCAAAAGTGATGTGCCTTACCTACACATAAAGCTTATCCATATTTTTATTTGGTTAAATTACAAAATATAGCCACTAACTTTTACGGGTTTGTAATGTTAGGTCACTATTTTTCCGATTTCGCAATAGTAGCAGAAGGTTTAAAAACTTCGGTAACTTTACCCAATTTCGTAAAAGAAAAAAAAATTAAGTTGAAACCAACTGATATCATAAAATATGCTGACATGGACTACACGTGGTCTACTTAATCCACATCAGCACAACTGTTGGTAGAAATTTTGGGCATGTGGTAACTGAGCTACCCGACTCGGGTCGTTCTCAAAGGAAGGCTATTCGGAGCTTCGTTCACTACCTAATCGTCAAAATCGCACAACCGAAAAGGTCCTAAACATGCTAATCGCTTGAATTGAAGTTTATTTAAGCTAAATTAATCTACGAAATTGAAATCGAAAGCAAGTAAAGCACGCAAGAAGATTAGAGAAATCAAGGGGGAAAGAGAGATTTTGGTTCACCGGAGTCATCATGATCAAAGGCACGCAAAAATCCAACCATTGCCATGTTCGCTAAAAACCCTAGAAAGTCAAATCAAACTCTAGCATGAATCGAGCAAAAATTCAACTCCTCTCTCACTTAGTCAAACATTCATGATCCAAAGCAACAATCTTTTCTTCCAAAATCTCAAGCACAATATCTATTTATCAAAGCAATAAAGATATACGAGGTAATGGGGCTTAAAAATAAGTTACCCACTCCAA